TCTCTAGCTGAATTATCTTTTTTTTTTTTTTTTTTTTTTTTTTTAGTAGGCTCCATGTTTGGCTTGGAGCCCAACATGGGGCTTGAACTCATGACCCCAAGATCAAGACCTGTGCTGAGACCAATAGTCGGGTGCTCAACCAACCCTTAGACACCCTGGGACTGTCTTAATTTCTGCTTTATTTTTGAAGAATGCTTTTGCCAGATACATAGTTCTTGGTTGACAGTATTTTTTTCTTTCAGCAATGTGTATATATCATCTTATCACTTTCTGGCCTTTGGGAACCACTGAATGAATATATAAATGAATAAACACACACACACACACACACACATGATCTGTTTCTTCTTACTGCTTAATTGGTATACTGGTAAATGTTTAGTGACTGGCTTTCCAAGAAAAAAGTGTATGCACATATATACATACGTAAGTTTATTATAAAGTTACTGACATAAAAGATGTTTAGCACACCATTTACAAATAATAGTAAAATGTGTAATACTCTTTATTATAAATCTCTGTAGCCAACTGAGTGTTACAGAAAGTTTTCATTGATTTTTTTATTGAGGTTAATTTCACATAGTAAGATTCACCATTTATTTATTTGTTAAGATTCCATTTATTTATTTGAGAGAGAGCACGCACACACACATAAGTGGGAGGGGAATGGAGAGGGAGAAGCAGACTCCCTGCTGAGCAGGGAGCAAGACTGACTGGTGGCTTGGCTCTACCCCAGGATCCCAAAACCATGACCCAAGCTGAAGGCAGACACTTAACTGACTGAGCTCACCCAGGTGCCTCCAAGATTTACCATTTATTTATTTATTTATTTAATTTATTTATTTTTAAAGATTTTATTTATTTATTTGACAGACAGAGATCACAAGTAGGCAGAGAGGCAGGCAGAGAGAGAGGAGGGAAAGCAGGCTCCCCGCTGAGCAGAGAGCCCGATGCAGGGCTTGATCCCAGGACCCTGGGATCATGACCGGAGCCGAAGCCAGAGGCTTTAACCCACTGAGCCACCCAGGCACCCCGAGGTTTACCTTTTTTTTTTTTTTTTTTTTGAAAGGTTTTTTTTTTTATTTATTAGTCAGAGGGAGAGAGAGCACAGGCAGACAGAGTGGCAGGCAGAGGCAGAGAGACAAGCAGGCTCCCTGCTGAGCAAGGAGCCCTATGTGGGACTCGATCCCAGGACGCTGGGATCATGACCTCAGGCGAAGGCAGCCGATTAACCAACTGAACCACCCAGGCGTCCCCAGGGTTTACCTTTTAAAAGTGAACAATTCAGGGGCACCTGAGTGGCTCAGTGGTTAAGCATCTGCCTTCAGCTCGTGTCATCCTGGAGTCCAGGGATAGGGTCCTGTATTGGGCTCCCTGTCCCACTCCCCCTGCTTGTCTGTGTGCGCTTGTCTCCCTCTCTTTCTCTCTCTTTCTCTTTGTGTCAAATAAATAAAATCTTTAAAAATAAATAAATGAAAGTGAACAATTCAGTGCAGTCAATACATTCACAGTGTTGACAACCACTACCTCTAGTTCTAAAATGTTTTTATCACCCTGAAAGGAAACTCATACTCTTTAAGGAATTGCTCCCTTTCCTCCCTCCCTGCAAAGACCCTGGCTACCACCAATCTGTATTCTGTCTCTATGGATTTACCTATTTTGGGTATTGCATATAAAGGAAATCATATGATACATGATCTTTTTGGCCTGGCTCTTTTACTGAGCATGATAGTTCAAAATTCATCTGCTTTGTAACTTGTATCTGTACTTCATTCCTTTTTATGGTAGGATAATATTCTGTTGTATGTATACATCATTTCTGTTTGTTTATCCTTTCATCTGTTGATGGGCATTTGGGCTCTTTCTATCTTTTGATTATTGTGAATTGTGGCTGCTATGAGCATGTATGTATATACATTTGTTTTAGTACCAGTTTTTAGTTCTTTGGTGTATGTACTTAGAAATGAAATTTTCATGTGGTAATACTGTGTTTAATTTTTTGAAATGTTTTTTCTGTTTGCCAGATAGTTTTACATTCTTACCACCAGCATATGTGAGGTTTTTCTTGATTTTAATTTTGCTCTTAAGTATCCATATCTGACCTATGGCAAAATCATGCTACCAGTGAGCACTTGATTGCTGTCCAATTCAAAAGAAGTTGCTCACCTTGTGACGAACAAGTAGTTTTAACATGAATGCTGGTTTAAATTTTTATTTATGTTAAGTGTGATGAAGGTGAAACAACAAAGGTATATTTTTTAAAATATTTGTTATTAATTTGATAGACAATGAGAGAGAGAACACAAGCAGGGGGAGTGGGAGAGGGAGAAGCAGGCTTCCCACTGGGCAGGGAGCCTGATGCAGGGCTCCATCCCAGGACGCCAGGATTGGGACCCAAACGAAGGCAGATGCCCAAGGACTGAGCCACCCAGGTGCCCTGGTGTAATTTTTTTTTTAAATGATTTTAATAAATTAATGATAATTTAGTGATAAATTAGTGATAATAATAAATGATTTAAATAAATTTTTTAAAATGATTTTATTTATTTATTTGACAGAGATCACAAGTCGGCAGAGAGGCAGGCGGGGGAGGGGGGAGAAGGCTCCCTGCTGAGCAGAGAGCCCATTGTGGGGCTTGATCCCAGGACCCGGGGATCATGACCTGAGCTGAAGGCAGATGTTTAACCCACTGAGCCACCCATGTGACCCTAATGTATTTGTTTTTAATTCAAGTATAATTGATGTACAATATCCTGGTAGTTTCAGGTATACATCATAGTGACTTGATTTTTTTTTTTTTTTGAATACACATTTTTATTTATTTATTTATTTATTTTTTAAATTTTATTTTTTATAAACATATAATATATTTTTGTCCCCAGGGGTACAGGTCTGTGAATCACCAGGTTTACACACTTCACAGCACTCACCATAGCACATACCCTCCCCAATGTCCATAACCCCACCCCCCAACCCCCCTCCCCCCATTAACCCTCAGTTTGTTTTGTGAGATTAAGAGTCAACTTATGGTTTGTCTCCCTCCCAATCCCATCTTGTTTCATTTACTCTTCTCCTACCCCCTTAACCCACCATGTTGCATCTCCTCTCCCTCATATCAGGGAGATCATATGATAGTTGTCTTTCTCCGATTGACTTATTTCGCTAAGCATGATACCCTCTAGTTCCATCCACGTCGTCGCAAATGGCAAGATTTCATTTCTTTTGATGGCTGCATAGTATTCCATTGTGTATATATACCACATCTTCTTTATCCATTCATCTGTTGATGGACATCTAGGTTCTTTCCATAGTTTGGCTATTGTAGACATTGCTGCTATAAACATTCGGGTGCACGTGCCCCTTCGGATCACTACGTTTGTATCTTTAGGGTAAATACCCAGCAGTGCAATTGCTGGGTCATAGGGTAGTTCTATTTTCAACATTTTGAGGAACCTCCAGTGACTTGATATTTTTACACATTATGAAAGAATCCCCACAAGATGTCTAGTTACCATGTGTCACCATACACAAAAGTATGTGTGTAGTTCCTTGTATGTGGGCTCTCTTTCGCTCCTAGAGGTTCTTTTTTTTTTTTTTTTTAAGATTTTATTTATTTACTTGACAGATAGAGATCATAAGTAGGCAGAGAGGTAGGCAGAGAGAGAGCAGGGAAGCAGGCTCATTGCTGAGCAGAGAGCCTGATGCGGGGCTCGATCCCAGGACCCTGGGATCATGACCTGAGTCGAAGGCAGAGGGTTAACCCACTGAGCCACCCAGGTGCCCCTACTCCTAGAGGTCCTTATCCAGGACTCAGTTCTGTTGCCTCCCTTTTCATTGACTCCTTCCCTGACACTAGTCTAAGTTAGCCTCCCTCTACTTTAACACCTACTTATTCATCATCATTTTACCCAGTTTCATTTCTTCATGACTCCTATCATTATCAGAAATTATTTGTTTGTTTACATGTTAATTGTCCTTTACTCCACTCCATAAACTCCAAGAAAGCAAGGACCTTTTCTCTTGTTCCCTGCTGCCTGCAACAAGGACTAACATATAGTAGGTATCAGTAAGCACATGCTGAATGAAGGAATGAATACTTTAAATAAAAGATACAAAAATGGGTTACTTAGACATGGTGTTATGAAATCCTCTTCTTTAGTCTAATCCATATTAGATAGAAAAATATATAATCTTACAGGGTGGGTTTTTTTGTTTGTTTATATTTGGATTAGTTTCCAAATTCTGTTTGTTCTTGGATGTGAAGTTTATATATTACTCTAGCTTCACTTTAGGAGCCATTATTTGGATTATATTAGAAGTGAAACTGTCATGAAAATGTTTATCGTCTCTAAGTGAACCTTCTTGATTGGAATTCAAGACGAAGCTTCCTTATGCTGAATTCTCTCTTATAGCAGATTCTATGATGATTAGTTGCCTTATATTTAAAATTAAGGAGAAAAAGTATACCAAGAATTTGAAGTTTTTGTTTAATTTTTAATTTTTTATTAACATATAATGTATTACTAGCCCCACGGGTACAGGTCTGTGAATTGCCAGGTTTACACACTTCATAGCACTCACCATTAGAATTTGAAGTTTTTGAAAATGATACAATAATTTAATATTTGAAGAGTTTTTTAAACATAAAAAATCTTGAAGGTAAAATTGAAATACTGAAGAATTTATTTTACTAAGACTTTTATTGGTGTAAAATGCCTCTGTAAAGATTGTGTATAGTGGTAAAGTATAAGAAAATTATAATTGCTTCTTCACATTGAATTACTTTTTCAAGTTTATAAATTATCAAACCAGAGTACATTTTAACTTTTGGTGATTAATGCAAGAAAGCGTTGGGTGAATAGATTTATTTTGGAGAGTTAGAAATAGAACTCTGGATTTTATAGATTTTTTTTTCCTGCAATGAACAGGCTTTTGGGATGCCATTTTTTAAAATTTTATTTTAAAACCAAACCTAATTTCATTATCTCTTCTGTATTTAGGTTCGATTAGTGATAGTGGATGGTATTGCTTTTCCTTTTCGTCATGACCTAGATGACCTAGCCCTTCGTACTCGATTACTAAATGGCCTAGCCCAGCAAATGATCAGCCTTGCAAATAGCCACAGATTAGCTGTAAGTATTATTAGCCAAGAGAATTGTATAATAAAGTCAAGCTTATATAAAATATTAATGTCTAGAAATAGCTAAATAGAATTTGACTAAAAGCACATAATACAGACACAGTTTTGAATGTAGTTTTTGTTTGACTTTTAGGAAAAATTAATTCCAGTCATAAGTGTTGTGTATCAGTTTTCCTAGAATATAACAAGCATGATCAAGATACCATATTTTAAAATGGACTTGTTTGATAAAGAAATGCCACCTTTGATAATTGCAATGTTGGTTTTTTTTTTTTTTTTTTTTTTTAAAGATTTATTTATTTATTTATTTGACAGAGAGATCACAAGTAGGCAGAGAGGCAGGCAGAGAGAGAGGAGGAAGCAGGCTCCCCTAGAGAGCAGAGAGCCCGATGCGGGGCTCGATCCCAGGACTCTGAGATCATGACCCGAGCCGAAGGCAGCGGCTCAACCCACTGAGCCACCCAGGCGCCCCAACAATGTTGGGTTTTATTTACCTAAATATATTTGTTGTTTTTCAGGTAAGCTCTTCTAATGTCCCCATTTTCTTTTACTCTGGGTCTTTAATTATTACATGTTGTATGGTGCTAGCTTCAGCAGCACATATACTAAAATACATGTTGTGTAATCACAGACTCAGAAGATAGAAAAATTACATAGTGTGAACAACCTAGATGTTTGAAGGTACAGCTAACTCTTCTAGATTTGAAATGTGAGGTTAAATATAAAGATAAGTTGGAAGTGACAAGACAAAAAGGAGTGAAGGTGACGACTTTTTTTTGTAACAAGCTTTTTTTTAACTGCCTATTTGCCATCACTTTCCACTCTGCAACCCCATGTCACCTCTCACACCAATACACACACCTGTTCAGGAGGAAGATGGGAAAAGATCAAGCCACCTAACTTGATTTTCCTTAGAAAATTAGAGTCCTTAGCACATACCTGTAATTCAGCCTAAGTACATAAAGAACTCCTCGATAAAATCATTTCAAAACATGTATCTTTTCTTTTGAGTTTTTAGATTTTTTTTTTTTGCCATATACTGAAAAGCATAGTGTCCTGTGTTTGAATTATTTCTTGTATTAATTTTTAATTTAGCATTCTGTTAATATCAAGGAAGAGCCCCCAGTAGGGGGCACTCAAGACTAATGGGTTGCATGGTTCCTTAAGTTTTGTTTTGTTTTGTTTGTTGAAATAGGTTTATTTTTTCTGATTAAAAAAGTAATGTAAACAGTAACATGGAATACTATGAGTGTTTAAGAAGAGTAATGTAAATATACACATACTAACACAGAACAAGTTATATCCAGATACACGATTAAGTAAAAAGATTCAAGGGGTGCCTGGATGGCTCAGTCATTGAGTGTCTGCCTTAACGCTCTGGTCATGATCCCATTGTCCTAGGATCAAGCCTCCTGGCTCCAAGGGGAGCCTCCTTCTCCCTCTCCAGCTCCCCCATGCTTGTGTTCTTCTCTTGCTCTCTTTCTCTGTCATAAATAAATAAAATCTTAAAAAAAAAAAAAAAGGTAAAAAGATTCAAGTCACGTAACAGTGTATTTTATGTGATCCCACTTTTGAGAAAAATAAAAATTTTATTTATGCATTATATTTATATATATCAACAAAAAGCTCTGAAAGGATCAAAGTGTTCCTAATGACTACTTCTAGTAAAAGGATTTTGTGGGGTTGAGGGCATACTTTCTCCTCTTTATAAATTCTTCTTTGCTTGATTTTTTGAATTTCCCAGTTACTATATAAATACATTTACCATATAAATACATAAATACATATAAATACATTTCACAATTTTATATATACTTTCTGTAAAAGAAGTTCTAAACAATCAAAAGTGTAGAAATTAAGTAAATTATCTATTACCCAGAGATGATTACTCTTGAGTTTGGTGTACCTATTTTTCCGAACTTACTAAGTTTTTTTTTTTTTTTTTTTTTTTTAATTTTAAAGTAATCTCTACACCCAACCTGGGGCTTGAACTCATAACCCTGAGATCAAAATTTGCATGTTCTACTAACTGAGTCCCAATATAGAATAGTTTTTTAATCATCCCCCTCCCCCTATTATCTTTAAAGTTGGCTTCAGGTTTTCACCATTTAAAAAACTGCAGTCGAGATGGCTGGGTGGCTCAGTTGAGTCCTGGGATCAAGTTCCGGGTAGGGCTCCTTGTTCTCCCTCTGCCTGACCCTCTCCCCTGCTTGTGTTCTCTCGCGCTCTCTCTCTCTCTCTCTCTCTCTCTCTGACAAAGAAGTAAAATCTTTAAAAAATAAAGATAAGAAAACTTTATATATGCTTTTTTGTCCATTTATTCAGTTTTTCCTGAAAGTATTAAGTCAAAGAGACATCTGTTTTTATTTACTTATTTTTTTATTTTTGGTAGGGGTGTCTCTGTTTTTTTTTTTTTTTTTTAAAGATTTTATTTATTTATTTGACAGAGAGAGATCACAAGTAGGCAGAGCAGCAGGCAGAGAGAGAGAGAGAGAGAGGGAAGCAGGCTCCCCGCTGAGCAGAGAGCCCGATGCGGGACTCAATCCCAGGACCCTGAGATCATGACCCGAGCTGAAGGCAGTGGCTTAACCCACTGAGCCACCCAGGCACCCCTGGGATATCTCTGTTTTTAAGCATTGTTATATATTATCAAATCACTCTCAGAAAGCATGTTCCAGAGTATGTTCTCTATAGCGGTGAATGGGAATTTTTGTTTTTCCACCTCTTTACTAACTTTGAGTCTTTTAAAGTCTTTGCCAAACTATGATAGAATCCTTTCAGAGATGCATTAACTTGATTATTAGCAGAAATTTTTTTAACAGCTTTATTGAGATTTAACTAACATACCATAAAATTTACCCTTTTAATGTGTACGGTTCCGTGGTTTGTAGTATATTTACAGAGTTGTTCAACCATCATGTCTAATTTTAGAACATTTCCATCACCCTAAAAAGAAATCCCGTGCCCATTAGCCATCACTCCCCATTGCAACCTCTTGTCATCCGCTTAAGAACCCTTAGTCTGCTTTCTATCTGTATGAGTTCATCTTTTCTGGATAGTTTATCTAAATAGAATTGTTCTGTATATGCCTTTTATGTCTTGCTTCCTTAACTTAGCACAGTGTTTTCAAGATTCATCCATGTTTTAGCATATATTAGTATCCTTTTTATGACTGATTAATTTTGTATTTTTTCAGTATATCATATTTTGTTTGTTTATCAATTGAAGGACATTTGGGTAACAAGTATTAAGGCAGAGAAGTTTCTAATTTAAAAGTGATTGTTACTTCACTGTTTTATTTTATTATTTTTTTAAATTTTTAAGACTTTATTTATTTGAAAGAGGTAGAGAGAGAGCACAAGTAGGCAGAGCAGCAGGCAGAGGGAGAGGGAGAAGCAGGTTCCCCGCTGAGCAGGGAGCCCGATGTGAGGCCCAATCCTAGGACCCTGAGATCATGACCCAAGCCGAAGGAAGATGCTCAACCAACTGAGCTACCTAGGCGCCCCTACTTCATTATTTTAAAGATTCACTCTTTAATTTGGTAAACCCAGTGTTTTTGCAGTTGTCATGTAATTCTTTTACAAGTAGTTGCCAAAAGTGCAAATTCTGATTTGGGGATGTTTAGCAGTTGGTAAACTGGTACGTCTATGTACATTTTCCTCGAGAGGTGTAATGGGAAAACTATATCCAGGTTTCCCTCACTATCCAAAAGTAGAGCATTCTAACAAAAACATTTTGTAAGCCAAAAGGTATAAAGCAAAGAAGCAACTACCAGTAATTTATTTTTTTATTTATTTAAGATTTTATTTTTATTTATTTGACAGACAGAGATGACAAGTAGGCAGAGAGGCAGGTAGAGAGAGGAGGAAGCAGGCTCCCTGCAAAGCAGGACCCTGGGATCATGACCTGAGCTGAAGGCAGAGGCTTTAACCCAGTGAGCCACCCAGGCACCCCAACTACCAGTAATTTATTTGGAAAATTGTTTTCACGTTCCCAGACTCAAAAAATAACTTTTCTTAGGTTTTTCTGATACCTTAGGACAGATGTTGCTAATGAATGCACAAAGTAAATCAAGATAGAGCACAGATATCCACAGACAGACACAGCTCAAAGTGATGGAAGCTTGATGCTGAGTATCATTCCCAGGGGAAGGAGCTTGGTGATGCTGCTCTCCCTGCCTCGGTGTACTCTTGCTTCTATGATGTTTCTGTGCAAAACAAATGCTGAATACTGTATCTTTTCACTTTCTTTAGAAAAGAGAAAATCCCCCCCCCCTTTTTTTAAAGATTTTTAAATTTGACAGATAGAGACACAGTGAGAGAGGAAACACAAGCAGACAAAGTGGGAGAGGGAAAAGCAAGCTTCCCGCTGAGCAGGGAGGGAGCCTGATGCAGGGCTGGGATCATGACCTGAGCGGAAGGCAGACGCTTAAAGACTGAGCCACCCAGGCGCCCCTCTCTTTGGATTTCTTATGGTTAGCAAAAACAGGTACTAATATAGGTCTTTCATAAAAGCAAAGTGGCATAATAGGAACTCTTGAAAAGCAGGGGATACCTGTACTCTATAAATCAGTGCTCTCTGAGAGGATTTTCTGGGAAGATGAAAATGCTCAGTCTGTATTCTGTATGCATGTAAGAGCAGTTGCATGGCTATTGAGTACTTGAAAAATAGTGCTGCTAAGGAAGTGAATGTCTAATTTTAATTTAATTTTTAAAAGCTGTGTGTGTGCCTGATGGCTGCCGAATTGAATGGTGCACCTCTAACCAAAAAGTGTTGATACAAATAAATATCCCAGTTGCTAGACCTTAAACACTTGGTAGTTTGTAAAGTATATTCTGCATGTTGGGGATGCCAGTTAGTCATATATTTCAGTTAATTACCAATTTAAATTCCTGTTTAGATTTTTCCAAGATGCCCGATGTGAGATAATACATGGGGAAACCACTGTGGCTTCAAGGAAGGGAAACTAGAAGAGAGTCATGTCATCCAGTTTGTGCCTAATTGAAACCTAGATGGAGCACAGATTTCTCCTTTGTAGACAAACAAAAATTTTAGGGTGTTATCACTGCAGTGGGAATAGCCAAACAGCTTTTTCTTTCTCAGTTTTCTTATGGAACTGATGCCTTTTTCAGAGTAGGTATCTTTTCTCATTGCTTTTCATAGAAGTTCTTTATCACTGTCAGCTTGCAGTAGTATCTGTCATATTTCTGGGGGGAAAATCTGTATTGGAAGAATATTTAAAATAACTCTTTTTGAAGAATTTGGGGCTGGGAGGTGCCAGATAATCTTTTACTGTATTCAATCAACCTTAAACAGTCTTTCTCTACTTTAAAATTACTATCCTTCATTTTGAGGCAAGGGAAACAAAAGTAAAAATAAATGATTGGGACTACATCAAAATAAAAAGCTTCCTGCATAGAAGAGGAAGCAGTCAACAAGACTAAAAGACAGCTTACTGAATGGGAAAAGATATTTGTAAATGACATATCCAATAAGGGGTTAGTATCCAGAATATATCAAGAATTTATACAACTCGATGCTTATAGGGTTGAATAAATGTTTTTTTGGCTTTAGGGTAGTATAAAAAAAAAACCCAAAATTTATACAACTCAATACTCAAAAAGCAAATAATCCAATTAAAAAACAGGCAGAATACATGAACACATATTTCTCCAAAGAAGATGTACAAAATGGCCAACAGACACATGAAAAGATGCTCAACATCACTCACCATCAGGGAAATCAAAACCACAGTGAGATACCACCTCACACTGTCAGAATGGGTAAAATAAAAAACAAAAGAAACAGCCAAGTGTTGGCGAGGAAGTGGAGAAAAAGGAACCTCATGATCTGTTGGTTAGAATTAACATATGATCCAGTAATTGCACTATTTACCCAAAGAGTAAGAAAACACTAATCCAAAAGGATATATGCACCCCCATGTTTATAGCAGTGTTATTTATAATAGCCAAGATAGGACACCTGGGTTGCCCAGTGGATGAAGCATCTGCTTTGGGCTCATCATGATCCGAGTGTTGGGGGATCAAGTTCCAAATCCGGCTCCTTGCTCAGCAGGGAGCCTGCTTCTCCTTCTGCCTCACCTCCCCCTGCTTGTGCTGCCTCTCTCTGATAAATAAATAAAATTCAAAAAAAAAGAAATGCAGGGGCGCCTGGGTAGCTCAGTGGGTTAAAGCCTCTGCCTTCGGCTCAGGTCATGGTCTCAGGGTCCTGGGATCGAGCCCTCATTGGGCTCTCTGCTCAGCAGGGAGCCTGCTTCCCCCCCCACTCTCTCTGCCTGCCTCTCTGACTACTTGTGATATTTGTCAAATAAATAAAATCTTAAAAAAAAAGAAATGCAGCCAGTTTAAATATATATATATATATATATATAATATTTATGTGTGTGTGTGTGTGTGTGTGTGTGTGTGTGTGTATATGTGTGTGTATATATATATATATATATATGGAAGCAGCCCAGGTGTCTATTGACAGATGAATGGATAAAGAAGATGTGGTGTGTGTGTGTGTGTGTGTGTAGATACATATACACATACCCAGACTCTTAACTACAGAGAACAAACAGATGGTTGCCAGAGGGGAGGTTCGTGGGGGAATGGGTGATATAGGCAAAAGGAATTAAAAGTACACTTATCTTGGGGCGCCTGGGTGGCTCAGTCAGTTAAGTGTCTGACACTTGGTTTCAGCTCGGGTCATGTCTCAGGGTCCTGGGATTGAGCCCCATGTCAGGTTCCACTCAGTGGGGGTCTGCTCAAGGATCCCCCCCACCGCCGCTTGCTCACTTATTCTCAAATAAGTAAATCTTTAAATAAGGAGTACACTTAATGAGCACTGAGTAATGTATAGAATTGTTGAATCACTATATTGTACACCTGAACCTAATATAACACTATGTTAACTAAACCGGAATTAAAATTAAAAAAAAAGAAACAAAAAAATTACTATCTTTCAAAACATGGAATCTTTTCTATAGGTCACTATTTAATCCAAAAGAATTAGTACTATTTTTAGCCATAAAAGCCATCCTTGAGTAAAGCAACACCTATTATTAGCAGACTAGTATAGTTACAATTTTCAGCCATTTGACCTGATTACTGGGTTTTATTTTTTACATTTCTGTATTTTCTTTATGATTTTAAGTCTTTTCTCATAATTTTTGTCTGTTTCCTATAAAACCAGAAATGGTAATAATGTATTCCACTTTCCTAAAGATGTAAACAGTGAGTTATTTATTAAGTATCTCACACTCTTTTGATTAAATATATTCTAGAGAGGCAACAGTGGTAGGAAAAAAACAAAAACCCCAGACTCAATCTTTCTAAATTTCTAATTTCTCATGTGTTAAACTGGAATTATTATCTCAAAAAATATTAACAGTATTACCTCATTCATAGAGTTATTGTGAAGACTAGATAAGATAATGAAAGTAAAGCACTTAGTATAATTATAGTTTCTGGCATATAGTAAGTACTCAGTAAATGTTTATCACCACTACTGATATTGCTGCTGTTGGTGTGGTGGGTTTTTTTTCTTTTCTTTCTTTCTTTCTTTTTTTTTTTTAAGATTTTATTTATTTATTAGACAGAAAGAGACACAGTGAGAGAGGGAACATAAGCAAGGAGAGTGGGAGAGGGAGAAGCAGGCTTCACGCTGAGCAAGGAGCCTGATGCAGGCTCGATCCCAGAACACTCGGATCATGACCTGAGCCACCCAGGCGCCCCGCTTTTTTTTTTTTTTTTTAAGGTTTTATTTATTTATTTGACAGAGCACAAGCAGAAAGAGCAGCAGTCGGAGAGGGAGAAGCAGACTCCTCACTGAGCTGGGAGCTGAATATGGGGCTCGATCCCAGAACCCTGGGATCATGACCTGAGCCAAAGGCAAACGCTTAACTGACTGAGCCACCCAGGCACCGTGGTCTGGGTGGTTTCTATTGGCTTATCCAAAACTTAAATTTTATTTATTTATTTATTTTTAAAGATTCAATTTATTTACTCGACAGAGCGTGCTCAAGGGAAACAGCAGGCAGAGGGAGAGGGAGAAGCCGGTGACATGGGACTCGATCCCAAGACCCTGAGATCATGACCTGAGCTAAAGGCAGATGCTTAACTGACTGAGCCACCTAGGCACCCATCCCAAACTTACATTTTAAAAGTAAGGTTTTTCCAGTGCTCCCAGTTTTGAAGTTTTTATACATGATCTCTTTACACTCTTGTGTATTTATTATCTGTAATATTTTTATTCTTCCATTTTCACAAGTGCTCTTGTCTGTTAAAAATGCTTATATTCAATGAAATCATGGTTTCATATAACTTACGGGCAAATTTAAAAATTTATCAGAAAAGGTTTCATTACCTAAATATATTTTTCTTGGGGCGCCTGTGTGGCTCAGTTGGTTGAGCGGCTGCCTTCAGCTCAGGTCATGATCCCAGGGTCCTGGGATCAAGCTCCGCATTGGGCTCTCTGCTCAGCGGAGAGCCTGCTTCTCCCTCTCCCTCTGGCTGCCGCTCTGGTTACTTGTGCTCTCTCTCTCTGTCAATTAAATAAATAAAATCTAAATATTTTTTTCTTTAAATTGTATTCAGAACACTAAAATCACAGAACTATTTCCTTGGTAATTTGGGGGAGAGATTCGCCTAATTTTCTCACTTTTTTTTTTTAGGTACTTTTAACTAATCAGATGACAACGAAGATTGATAGAAATCAGGCTTTGCTTGTTCCTGCATTGGGTGGGTAATCAGAGAAGCATTTTTATTAAGTTTTTTATTTATTTAAGTAATCTCTACAACCAACGTGGGGCTTGAACTCACGACCCCAAAATTAAGAATCACATGCTCTTTCAACTGAGCCACCCAGGTGCCCCAGATAAGCATTTTTAACTTAACATATTTTTTCTATTTCTTTCATGTGATGCTTGTTCAGTACTGGAAGTTCCATGAAACCAGAGATTGTTTCTGATTATTTGGTGATAAGTCTTATTTTTTTTGAAGATTTTTTTTATTTATTTGACAGAGACACAGCAAGAGAGGGAACACAAGCAGGGAGAGTAGATGAGGGAGAAGCCAGCTTCCCACCAAGTAGGGAACCCAATGCTGGACTCGATCCCAGGACCCTAGAATCATGACCTGAGCCAAAGGCAGACGCTTAAAGACTGAGCCACCCAGGCGCCCCTTCACTGATAATTCTTGGCATGGAACTCAGTGCCCTTAGATACCCACTCATCTTTTCAGTTATTTAACAACCATTTATTAAGCATCTATTATTTGGCAACTATTGTGTCAGGCACCGAGCATATAAATATTCATAAGATGACTCTTGCCTTCAGAAAGTCTTAAGCAGGAGGAAGGGTGAATCCATTTAAATACAGATCACATTACAGTAAACAGACTTATGACTTACTTTTTTTAAAAAAAGATTTTATTTATTTATTTGACAGACAGAGATCACAAGCAGGCAGAGAGGCAGGCAGAGAGAGAGGGGGGAAGCAGGCTCCCCACTGAGCAGAGAGCCCGATGTGGGGCTCATCCCAGGACCCTGAGATCATGACCTGAGCCGGAGACAGAGGCTTAACTCACTGAGCTACCCAGGTGCCCCCTTATGGTTCTTTCTAACCTCAAGGACACAGTGCTTCAAGATTTTTCTTTTACTAAATTCTTCAAGAATATTCTATCAAAGTTTTTGCTTTTCTTCTGGTAGCCAGCAATATGTTAGTAGGTCTGATGATACAGAAGATTGACAAAATGTTGACTCAAACTATGAAGTTTTCTGAAAGCAAGTAAAGGATAATGATCTTCAGTATTTCCACAGCTAGGTAAAAATCTGTTAATCTCAGGATGTTACCCATGTGTACAAGGGGTTTTGAAAGTATAAGTATATTCTCGTGTTAAATTAGGTAAAGTAAAACTCTTTTGGTCAGAGGTATTCTGAGAGACTTATAACCTTGTGAGTAAGGCAATATACAGTTGTTCTGTTTTTGTTCCCACCAGGGGAAAGTTGGGGACATGCTGCTACAATACGGCTAATCTTTCATTGGGACCAAAAGCAAAGGTCAGTATAGAAACAAGTTAATAATTCTGAATATTGGGTTAATTATACTAAACATTTATATTTTCTTTGATCTACTGCAGTGGGTGAAATCTACAGTGTCTCATGAATGAAAGCTTTTGTTGCCTTGTCCTCCATCACCTAGAGAAAACATAGAAACATGTTGTTAAACTGCACATTTAGCTAACATAGGAAATTCTTTGGAATATTTAAATGATGGGGTGCACCTGAATGAGTAGGTGGCCAAGGAATGCTACCTTCTAAAGCTCTTTGAAATCAAGTACCATTTATTAGCCTTGCAGAAGGAGGTGGGTACTCTGTGTTCCTAGAAGGGATTGAAAGAAGAATAAAATTAGGACAAAGGAAAATTTTTGAGATTAGCTTTAGGACTAATTTATGTGGAAAATAGGATGGCTTTTCATAGTTGCTTAATATATTTCTTGTATGAAATTGTGTCTATTTTTGTTTTCTTTTGTATTTTGCTATCCTACTTTTGTTACCCAGTTACTTACCTGCCTTTCACAAGTATTGTTCTTTAAAATAAAACTATGACAGCATGAAACCTTTGTATTTGTTTTTTGTTTTGTTTTGTTTTTTAAAGATTTTATTTATTTATTTGACAGACAGAGATCACAAGTAGGCAGAGAGGCAGGCAGAGAGAGGAAGGGAAGCAGGCTCCCTGCTGAGCAGAGAGCCCGATGCAGGGACTCGATAACAGGACCCTGGGATCATGACCTGAGCTGAAGGCAGCAGCTTAACCCACTGAGCCACCCAGGCGCCCTGTATTTGTTTTTAAAGCTGCTGAGCAAGTGAACAAACCAGCTTTCATTTTCTTTAAAACAGGCAAATGAAAGCTGTGGAGTCTTTTATTCTGCACTTCTAGAAATGTCAGATTTATGCCAGCCCCTCTGCTTTGAGATTAATTTGTATAACTGAAAGCAGTTGGTTTGGAAATACTGTAAGGAAAGGAGGAAATTGAGAAAGCATGTGGGCAAAGATGGAAAAAAGGGTTACTTAAATATATATCAGGTCTGGTCAGTGAAATTGTCTTAGTTTTTGCCTACATTTATTTTTGTTCTTCTCCAAACTGAAAAAAAAAATTCGTGCCTGACCAAATTAGGTTTTCCTTACTCTGAGCTCATGGCAGAATTTATTACACTTACATACATCTTTTGAAACCATTCTTGTGGTTTATATATCTTTTAAAAATAACATTTCTGTTGGCCACCTAGGTGACTCAGTTGGTTGAGTGTCTGCCTTCAGCTTGGGTCATGGACCTGGGGTCCTGGGATTAACCCCTGCATCGGGCTCTCCCTCTGTCTACTTATCTGCCTGCGTGTGCGCACTCTCTCTCTTTGGCAAATAAATAAATAAAATCTTTTTAAAAAAATAACATTTCCAGAGAGCTCAGGTAACTTTTTTTTTTTCATAACACATAGTGCTTTACAATTGACTTCCATCCCCCAGTTCTGTAAATAAGTCATTGTATTCTGGATCACAAAAGGAATTCTTTCCTCAGCAACAAACCCTTTGGCAGTAGTTCTCCAGATGAGGATCTTTTGAACATATTGCTTATACTTTCCCAGATTTAGGTTTTCCGTAAAGTGCATCCCACTGTGTAAATGTTTTTAGGGGTTCTTCTTGAACAAGTATATAGTAGTAGTCTTCCACTCTTACTCTACTATTAAATATTCACTAATAGAGATACATCTAAAATACAAAAATATGAGCAAACCAAGATGTTTCATCTTTTAATGCATTCATCAGAAAATGTTTGCCTTCTTTGTCAAATTCTAGAAGTTAGCATTGGTTAAGGTACCCATGAGATCAGAAAATTAGGCTCATTTTTTAAGCATTAACCATTTTATGACTTTCAGCTTCTTACTCATCCTTTCCAAGAAATTGGAGAATGGTGTTGAACATTGAATTAGATAGATTTTTTTTTTAAAGATTCTATTTATTTTTTTGAGAAAAGATAGAGCACAAATCGGGTGGAGAGGGAGAGGCAAGCTCCCTGTGAACATGGAGCCTGATGTGGGGCTCCATCCCAGGACCCCAGGATCATGACCTGAGCCGAAGGCAGACATGTAATCAACACCCAAATGCCCTGAATTAGATGGATTTAGGGGATCTCTGTTCCCATAAGTTTTTTTTATATCCCAAACTATCATTTTAGGACTGCTTGCTTATGATAGGTATTTCACTGGGCAGTTTATATATAATATTTCATATAATCCCTTCAATAACTCTTTGAAGGATCTATACCTATGTGAGAAGACCAAGTCTGCCCAGAAAGATAAAGTGTAATTAATAGCTACCATTTATTGAAATTTTATTAACTGTCCTTTATTGTGTTAAGCATTGTGTGTGTGTGTGTATGTATTTCATTTTATTTTCCAAATAACTATGAAATAAGTAGTAATATCCACATATTATAGCTGACTCTATAATAGTCTCTTTTACTATGATTGCTTTTTCTACAATGTAATTACAATATTGTGTTGATTGCCAGCAAATCTGGAAATACAGCTCTTATCTTCCTTTTTAGGTAAAATCCTTTTCTCCAAACTGTTTCTCCCCCCCGCCCAAGCTGGGGATATATGATAAGTAATGTGCATACTTCATTATAATCAAAATAAGTTGACCTCATTTAATAGAATTAAATAGTTTTATTCTTCATTGTTTGAAACCAGTTATCTTAAAAAAAAAAAAAAGAAACCAGTTATCTTTAAGTCATTAGAGTTGCATGAAATCTTGTATGTGTTCTAAAATTTAGTTTATCTTGAAAGGACAAAAATAGAAATTCACACTGGGGAAAAATAGTTATAAAAATGAAACTTCCAGTTTGAGCAGAAAACTAAAAACCTTGATTAACCAAATTTATATTGAGAATTGAACCTTAGTGTCCTATATTATACTCCAGTCCCCATCTTTCACCAAAACACCCGACTTTTACCCTTTGACTAACAATGAAATGACATTCCAGCAGTTATTCAAATAAGTACTTTTGTCTCTGTCCTGTATATTGTGCGGTTTTTCCTCCAGTTTGCATATTCATGATAATATGAGGCTGAGATTGTTCAGAATTATATCATTCTTTGCCAAGAAGGTCTGGTGGTAGAGTGGAGTAATATATCAACACCCCCACACAGTGTTTCATATGTGTGCTCAGCTTTAGAGCACAAATTGTGCTTCTGTCTTATTTCTTCCTGACCCAAACTGTGTAGTTCAGCCATATGTTAAGCTTCATCTCAGCTGGGGCCATGAGCCAAGTGATTCTTTGGTTTAGTTTGTTGTTTAAAAAGATGTCTTGAGATGGAGATATGACATATAAAATTATTTTATTTTTACTTAGGAATTTGAGGAAATTTTTCAACCTGAATATTTAATGCCCACTTGACTTTAGGATTTTTTTTTTAAAGATTTTATTTATTTATTTGACAGAGATTACAAGTAGACAGAGAAGCAGGCAGAGAGAGGAAGGGAAGCAGGCTCCCTGCTGAGCAGAGAGCCGGATGCAGGGCTCGATCCCAGGACCCCGGGATCATGACCTGAGCTGAAGGCAGAGGCTTTAACCTACTGAGCCACCCAGGCACCCCTAGGATTTTTAATAAACATGTAAAAGCTTAAAAGCTTATTTACTTTTTTTTTTTTTCCAAGATTTTATTTATTTGACAGACAGAGAATAAGCACAAGTAGGGGGAGCAGCAGGCAGAGGGAGAGGGAGAAGCAGGCTCCCCGATGAGTTAGGAGCCCAGTGTGGGACTCGATCCCAGGATCCTGGGATCATGAGCCAAGCTAAAGGCAGATGCCTAACGACTGAGCCACCCAGGTGTCCCAAAAGCTTATTTATTTTTTAATAATTTTCTCAGAAAATTCAGATGTATTGGGTATCTTTTGGGATATATGGTGATATTACAAGGTGATTTAGATACTAATTTTTCAGGTTAGCTAATTTTTGTTTTATTGAATCAAAGAGAGTGATGTTTTGTAATAAGGCAGGCTAAAATGAGCTATTCCTCTATTTTTCTGTTATATATATATTTTTTTAACTTTTATTTATTTAAAAAAATATTTTTTAAGTAATCTCTGCTTGAAGTGGAGCTCCAGCTTACAACTTGGAGATCAAGAGTCACATGTTCTACCAACTGAGCCAGCCAAGCGCCCATTTTTTCTGTTATATTTTGTATTAAAGATAGAATTATCAACACTAAAGCATTGTAAAAATTTATAATCTCCATCCCTAACACAACTATTCTTATATTACATATTACACAGCAGTTACTTCATTTTTGCTTACAATTGCAATTACAAAGTATATGACATTTTTGGATTCTGTTGTTTTTGTCCAAAAGTATAAACCTAAAACATTAAACTAATGGACTATGATCTCTGGTTGCTTCTCTCCCTTTTTTTTTTTTTTTTTTTTTAAGAGTTTATTTATTTATTTGACAGACAGATATTACAAGTAGGCAGAGGCAGACCAGAGGGCGGGGGAAGCAGGCTCCCCGCTGAGCAGAGAGCCCAATGTAGGGCTCTATCCCAGGACCCTGGGATCATGACCTGAGCCAAAGGCAGAGGTTTTAATCCACTGAGCCACCCAGGTACCCCTTCTCTTTTTTTATTTTGAAGATTTATTTATTCATTTGAGAGAGAGAACGTGAATGTGCACCAGGAGGGAAGGGCAGAGGGAGGAGGAGAGGGAGAGAGTCTCAAGCAGGCTCAGCGCTCAGTGGGGCTTGATCCCAGGACCCTGAGATCATGACCTAAGCCAAAATCAAGAGTCAGATACTTAACAAATGGCACCACCCAGGCACCGCTGATTGCTTCTCTTTTGAGTTTTGTCTGAGCAGAGGGGCAATTTCAAACTTTGAAGAGTAACATATCATGAACCAATGTGTCCTTCTGAATTGTCTTTGAAAACAAATCAGAAACTGCTCTGCCTCTGTCGTGGAGCAGTCTTCCAGGCTCCCTCTGCAAATGGGCTCTGTGGCCTAGTATCCTGATCCCTGCACCCATGATCATGTGCTGAGGCCCATGAGGGGTTACTGCCAAGGTTTCCACCAGCCCACAAGTGACTGCATGGCAGTCATCTCCGCCAGCAGCTCGCTTGTGGCCACCTATTACCAGTGTGTCCTGGGTTCCACTTCTGGTAACACCTCCTGTGAAAGTGCAGCCCTCCCTCGCCACCCTGGTCTTGCCAAGGCTGACTCGGGTTATTGGTGGGCAAGGTTCTTTTTTTGGGAAGTCCACTCTCCCATTCATGGCTATAGTGTTGGAGTCTCCAGAAGGCTCAGAATCTCCTCAGGCCTCCAGTAGTGTGATCACCTGTGACTCGGCTCTGGAAGCCTTGAGGAAGCAGCATGGTGGCCAGCCTGGAAAAGCCAACACTGGGCCCCAATCCTGAGTAGCCATACCAGCCACCAGGCTCATTGAGAAGGTGCTAGGCTCATCAGAGCTCTTCTCCTCCCCTCCCATAAACTAGGCAGTCTACAGCAAGCAGAAGCAGTGGGTTCTTTTATATCAAAACAGCAAAACACCAAAAGGGAAATTGAGAGAACCCTGCTGTTTACTATCCAAGCCACACTCAAGCCTTCCTGACACCCTGTAACCATGTGCCTTGAACCAAGTAGAAAACAAACTCCAAGCAGCCAGTAAAAATAAATCAACATTACATTGTATCTAAGAAGGTGATTCTTTTAACTCTCTCAGAGTTTATGATTTTTCTCTAAGTTAGAATCTGCATTTTGTGCAGTTATAGCATTGTTTTTTGTGGAAGGGAGAGGGACATGTTTTTTTTTTTTTTTTTAATTCAATTAGCCATCATATAGTACATCATTAGTTTCAGATGTAGTGTTCAACAATCCATCAGTTGCATATAACACCCAGTGCTCCTTGAGAATGTCAGTTTTTAAAATTGGTAAATTATGGGGTGCCTGACTGGCTTAGTCAGTAGATCATGCAACTCTTGATCTTGGGGCTGTGAGTTCAAGCCCCAGGTTGGGTATAGAGCCTACTTTAAAACACTTTTTAAAAATTAAATTGTAGTAAATTATACAAATGATAAAATGTTATGTTTTGTTGTTTAAGTGTACAGTTTAGTGACATGAAGTACATTCACATTATTGTGCAGTCATCACCTCCATCCATCCCCTGAACTTTTTCATCTTCCCCAACTGAAACTGCTTCCATTAAACACTAACTGCTATTCTTCCCTCCCCCAGTCTATGGCAACCACCATTCTACCTTCTATGAATTTGAGTACTCTAGGCACCTCATGTAAGTGGAGTGATGCAATATTTATCCTGTTGTGCCTGGCCTTTTTTCACTTAGCCTAGTTTTCAGTGTTCACTGTACATGGTGACAAGAACTTTCCTTTCCAAGACTAAATAAGATCCCATTATATGTAAAAACTTATCCATCTGTCAGACACTTAGGTTGCTTCTGTCTTTTGGCTATTGTGAATAAGTTATATCAGTTTTAAAGTAATTTTGAAAATTTTGCTTAGGTGACACCTGAGTGGCTCAGTCAGTTAAGCGCCCAACTCGTGGTTTCAGCTCAGGTCATGATCTCAGGTTTGTGGAATTGAGTCCCACGTCTGGCTCTGTGCTCAGTTCAGAGGTTGCTTGAGATTCTCTACTTCTGCTTCTCCCCTTGCTCTCTCTCCTTCTCTCTCTCTCTCAAATAAGATATACAAATAATAATCTTTTTAAAGAAAGTTTTTTGCGGGACAGCTGGGTGGCTCAGTTGGTTAAGCGGCTGCCTTCAGCTCAGGTCATGATCCCAGCATCCTGGGACAGAGTCCTGCATCAGGCTCCTTGCTCCGAAGGGAGCCTGCTTCTCCCTCCGCCACTCTGTCTGCCTATGCTCACTCTCTCTCTCTCTGACAAATAAATAAATAAAATCTTAAAAAAAAAAAAAAAGTTTTTTGCATAGGCCACCTGGCTGGCTTAGTCTGTAGAGTATAAGCCTCTTGATCTTGGGGTCATGAGTTTGAGCCCCACGTTGGACATAGAGATTACTTAATTTGAAAAATTTTTAAAAAATAATTTAATAAAATGTTTTGCTTATATTTGTTGCTTTTATAATATTTGAGCAAGCTTAATAAGAGCTTAGAATTTTATATCTAACTACTTTCAGCTTTCAATTTTATATTACTTTGTAGAGAACACAATAAGATTCTACCTAAACAGACCTTGTTCTGTCATGATGATGATTCTCTGGATATAATCATTTTGAAAGAATCTGTCTTCCTTGCTTATTTGTATTAGTATGATATGACTGTGTACTCCTCATTTATATCCCAAGAAATTGTCTAATACTTCTGTCGTGACAAGTAACACAGTTACTGCATAAAGTTGGAAAAACAAAAAAAACAATCTTTATCTTATAGTAACAACTTAACTTTTTGATTGTAGTCTTCTAGTAATTTTTCTATATATGTTGATTTACATACTCATAATTGTGGGCTCACACAGCGTAACTTTTACTTAATATATTATTAACATTTTTTATATTAAATATTTTTTCCCACATCTGCAGCATCAGTAGTATTTTGTCATGTAGAAATTTATTTGAATTACTCATTGGACATTTAGGTTGCTTTAAAATTCCACTTATATAAACAACTCTTGTTATTATATGTAATAATTATTATATGCATACATATAGCTGTTGATTAAAGGAATCTTTTTGATATTTCTTTGCTTTCTGTGTCCTTAGGGAAGAAAACAATAGAATTGTAGTGAAAAACTTTAAATGTAAATTATTATATCAGTCATCTGAACTAAGATCATGTGTTTGTATATATTTATTTCTTTTTCTCTAAGCAGGTTGGCAACATTGTACAAATCACCAAGCCAGAAGGAATCTACAGTACTGTTTCAAATCACAGTCAGTATTACTTGATTAGAGTGGGGTTTTGGTGTTGGTGGGCAGTAATTATCTGAAGAGAGCATTTACAAATTGCTTCTGTTAACTTCTGTAGGCAGCAAGCATATTTGAGGACAGCTTTCAATGCTTAGAACATTATCCTCAAAATAGTATATATACAGAATATTCCGGTGACAATTGGACTGAAATTTATTCTTAAGAACAGAGGAAATACTTATTTGTAGGCTAATGTGTTCCATGCCATATGTAATGTCAGGATATTAAAAATTTTTAAAGTGAAAGTTGTTAAAGATTTTCCAAGAAAAAAATACTAACATTACCCATTTTAGTCTGTAGATATTATAGATCTGTCATAGCCACCAAATATATCCTGCTTTAAAATGTTAATTTTCCTATAATTTAAAATCATAGAACACACTTTTTTGGCTGAAATATGCATATTTATCAGTAGTATTGAGCCAGATATATTCTTGGCATCTCATTTTTTAAGGACAAAAACAGAAATAGAAATTCTGAAACTGAATTATCAACTCAGTCTTTGTACTGCTTAGGTGCATTTAAAGTATCCTAATTGGAAAACTAAATTTTGAGTATTTAATTGTGAAAATAAATTTGTAAAGCACCTAAGTAATTAGTACATGTTACTTCCTTTTACTCTTTAATAGAGTCACTATAAAGTTTGTTAAGATTTTCTTTTGGAGTATATTTTTATAATGCACTGTTACTTCTGTGTGTGTATGTATAAACAATATATAAATAAATAAATACAGATATAAAATACTCTAGATGTAAAATACTCTAGTACAGCTTTGGCTTGGACACCAATTCAAGAGGTTTAACCTCTGCATTCGCAGTGCTTCATAACTTCTGTCTGAAGAATAAAGTAGCTTCAAAATATTTTGAAAACCAGTTGTTATTTTAAATGTTCTTAAACCATACTTGCATATTTTTTCATCTTCCAGCCTCAGGGATTTAGAGATGCTGTTGTTGCTACTGCATCTTCTTTGCAAACAGAAGGTTCACTGAATTTCCGGAAACGGTCACGAGAATCAGAAGAAGAACAGGAATCCAAAGACTAGTCTTAAAGTATACATATGTGTTGATGCTGTGAGATGTTATATATACAAGTAGTAGACTCTTTATTTTAAAATATAAACACACACTATGGCATATATGAATCAAGAGCATATGAAGTGAATGTGAAAAACACTAAATGAGTATGATTCTCTGAAATTTTCTAAAGCAGTTCTACAATTATATTTTGCCCTGTTTTCATTTTTAGTAACAGCAGAGATGATACAGGTATTGTATTTTTGCAAGTGTGGAGAGCTGATCTCATGTAGCCAATCTGAATTTAACCATTCAGATTGTTTTTTCCTATTTTCTTTGCTAGTTGCCTAGAAAATCCTAGGAAGAAAAGGTTTGTTTTTTTTTTTCACATTCCTATTGGGTTTTTCCCTTTAAATGTAGATTTTTTTTTTTTTTTTTAAGATTTTATTTATTTGACAGAGAGTGAGAGAGGGAACACAAGCAGGGGGTAGTGGGAGAGGGAGAAGCAGGCTTCCCGTGGAGCAGGAAGTTCTGGGCTCGATCCAAAGGCAGACACTTAACAACTGAGCCACCCAACCGCCCCTAAATGTAGTTTTGATAATTCTTAAAAATGACCTGGTTTTCAGCTATCTCTTACTTGACATCATGGCCGCCCTCAGACCTTTGGTGAACCCCAATACCATTAAAAAGAGAATCAAGAAGTTCATCCAGCACCAGGCAGACCGATATATCAAAATTAAGCACAATGTGGAAACCCAGAGTCATTGACAATAGGGTGCACAGAAGATTCGAGGGCTAGATTTAGATGCCCAAAACTGGTTACAGGAGCAACAAGAAAACAAAGCACATGCTGCCCAGTGGTTTCTCAAGTTCCTGGTCCACAGTGTCAAGGAGCTTGAAGTGCTACTGATGTGTAGCAAATCTTACTGTGCGGAGATTGCTCACAGTATATCCTCCAAGAACCACAAAGCCACTGGAAAGAGCAATCGTGCTGGCCATCAGAGTTACCAGTCCCGATGCCAGGCTGCGCAGCCAAGAAAAAGAATAGACAATTTATGTGTATGTCGTATTTGTGTTAATAAAACCATAAAACTGCAAAAAAAAAGAAAAAGGCTTGTTTTTAGTATTATAAAGAAAAGCCAGCACCATGAGTCAGCATATTATTGTATTCAGTTTTAATGGTAGGATACAAATTTTAGATGACCAGTCAGATTTTAGTGATCCCAATCCTAATTTAGTGACCCTAATCCCCAAATCCTAAGCCATTTGTTTATTTTTTATGTTACTTTATGTTAAGGGAAGGACTTGGAGCTGTTACCCTATCTAGAAATTGTCTAGAATGTTCATCTTCCAGAATACTCAAGTCGATAAACTCACAATTATTTATTTCTACATTTTGGAAACATGGTGTGATCCATTCTAGAATTCTAGATGTATTGACATTTTCCTTTGAATAATCTTAACACTTGGAATAAATTAAAAATTTGGATTCTTAAGTAGTTTTAAAATCATCTAAAAATATTTTGGCACCTGATTCTTCTTAGTACTTCTCCATTCATTCACAAAATTTATTGTGGTTTTCAGTGGAGGAAAATTATTTAAATAATTCAAAATTATATACTGTGACAACCATATTCTCCAGATTTTAGTGATACTTGGTATTTCCTGTCCCAGACTGACCATTAAATTAATAAAATTTTAAAAATATAATTATTCTGTAATTGATTATATATAGAATAACCGTAGTTTTCCAGGACTTTTTTGAGAATGAAATTAGACACTGCTAACCATTACACCAGGACAGTGGACATAAATCAGGACCATCCCAGGCAAAATCAGGTATTTGGTCATCTAATTATATAAGACTAATTTCAAATGACTACTTTAGTGAAGAATGACTGGTTGTAATTATTTTTGAGGTCTTTGAGGCATATATTTTTATTATCAAAGCAGGCATTATTAAAAAAATTACCCATCATTTTATATTCTCTCTGCTCAGATCATAAAATCATGAGAGTGAGGGGGTTATAAGTGATAAATATCAGTGTTACTAGGCTTCAGAACTATAGAAATCTCATAAAGCATCATAACACTACTTTAAAGAACTATAGGACCCAGAATATAGACAAAGCCAAGTGTATTTCTTTTTGTTTGCAACTCTTTTTAGGTAAACTATATAAAATAGCGTTTCAGGGCATCTGGTGGTTCAGTTGGTTAAGCATCTGCCTTCGGCTCAGGTCATGATCCCCGGGTCTCAGGATCAATCGGCCTGTGTCCAGCACTCCACTCAGCGGGGAATCTACCTCTCCCTCTCCCTCTTGTCTCTCCCCTTCCCTCCTACCCTCTCTCAAATACATAAAATCTTTAAAATAGCCTTTCAAAGTTGTTGCTATTGCTAAGAAGATAATTATTTTCCTAGTTATACACTTAAATCTTAATCTTCTTGGGCTGCAATAACAAAATACCATAAATTTAAGCAACAACATTTTCTCACAGTGTTAGAGACTAGAAGTCCCAGATCATTGTGCCAGCATGGTGTGGTTCCAATGAAGCTTGTAGACGGCCACCTACTTATTCCGTGCTCACAAGGCCTTTCCTTGGTGAATGTGCATGGAGAGAGAGCTTTCTCTCTTCATCTTCTTAAAAAGCCACCAGTCCTATCAGATTAGGACTTCACCTTTATGACTTCATTTAACATTAATTACCTTCTAAAAGCCCTATCTCCATATATAGTCACACTGAAATTTAGAGCTTCAACATGAATTTTGGGAAGAGAATTCAGTCTGTAGAAATTCAGGAAATTTGGGGGCACCTGGCTAGCTCAGTCAGGTGTCTGCATTCAGCTTGGGTCATGATCTCAGGGTCCTGGGATCAAGCCCCATGTCAGGCTCCCTGCTCAGTGGGGAATCTGCTGCTCCCTCTGCTTCTCTCCCTTCTCATGCTCTCTCTCAGATAAATAAATAAAAATCTTTAAAAAAAAATTACTTGCTTTTTTTTTTATTTTTTATTTTTAAAGATTTAACCTATTTATTAGAGATCACAAGTAGGCAGCGGCAGGCTGAGAAGGGGGGAAGCAGGCTCCCCGCCAAGCAGAGAGCCCGATGCGGGGCTCAATCCCAGGACCCCAGGATCATGACCTGAGCCGAAGGCAGAGGCCCAACCCACTGAGCCACTCAGGTGCCCTGTTACTTGCTTTTTAAAGAGCCTAATATATATCCTCTTGTGCTCCTCATAATTTTTCTATGATCGTTTTTAATGGTTGTGCATAATTTTAAACTTCTTTTTGGAGTTTGTTATTACTATATTTTTTAGTGTTATAAACAGTGCTTTTAATAAGCATACAAGTTCCTTTTTAAAAGAAATTGAAATGGAAATTGTATTAATTTTCCATTGTTTTGGTAAAAAAATTACCACAGATTTAGTAGCTTAAAAGAACACACATTTATTATCTTACGGTTCTGGAGTCTGAAATCAGTTTCACAGGGCTAAAATCAAGGCATCAGCAAGCCTGCATTCCTTCTGTAGGGTGTAGGGAAAATCCATTTTCTTGCCTTTTTTAGCTTCTAGAAGCTGCCTGCATTCTTTGGCTCATAGCCCATCTTCAAAGACACAGTGTAGCATCTTCCAGTCTCTCTGTTTCCAGTCTGATTCAATTGCTTTTTTCCAAATCTGTCTCGTGCCTTCCTTTTATAAGGACACTTGTGATTACACTTAGGGCTCAGTCAGATAATCCAGGATAATATCCCTATCTCAAGGCTGTTACTCACATCTGCAGATCCCTTTTGGCATGTAAATTAGCATTCACAAACTCCAGGATTCGGTTGTAAATGTTCAGGGGGACCCATTATTCAGCCCCTCAATTCATGTGGTAACATAATTCAAGACCTAATGATTTTTTTTTTAAGATTTTATTTATTTCTTTGACAGAGAGAGATCACAAGTAGACAGGCAGAGAGAGAGAGAGAGAGAGAGAGAGAGAGAGAGAGAGAGAAGCAGGCTCCCCGCTGAGCAGAGAGCCAGATGCGGGACTCGATCCCAGGACCCTGAGATCATGACCTGAGCCGAAGGCAGCGGCTTAACCCACTGAGCCACCCAGGCGCCCCAAGACCTAATGATCTTTTTGTGACAAATATACACATTAAAGTTTGCAAAGCACTGGGACAGACTTGTTGACATTTTTTTTTTTTTTTTAAAGATTTTTTTTTTTTTTTTTTGAAAGGCACACAACAAGCAGGAAGAGAGGCAGGCAGAGAGAGAGGAGGAAGCAGGCTCCCCCACAGAGCAGAGAGCCCGATGCGGGGCTCGATCCCAGGACTCTGAGATCATGACCCGAGCCGAAGGCAGCGGCTCAACCCACTGAGCCACCCAGGCGCCCCAGACTTGTTGACATTTTTAACTGTATTCATTGATGGTCATTCCCATTTATGAAAGTGAAAGGGAAAAAAAAAGGATACGAAGAGAAATGATAGTTCCTTAGCTTTTTGAAAGTTTTATTTTTCAAGGACTTTTTTTTTTTTAAGATTTTATTTATTTATTTGACAGAGATCACAAATAGGCAGAAAGA